AAAAAAAAAAAAAAAAAAAAAGAAAAAGAAAACATTAGGTCATTAATAACTGCCAGCCAGTATGTGAAGTCTGTCAGGCCGGTTCTTTGTTAACCAGTCCTCCAGAGAAATTCTTTCTATAAATGACATCATAGCAAGGTGAAGTTAAGCATAGTGCTCCTTTTCCTTTAGGGGAGAGTATGTTGTACAGGGAATCAGTGGAAGCTTGCAACAACTAGTTTAGTTGTCAAACTTGAGGCTTTTAATGTCTTAAGAGTTTTTGTGATGATTCAGCTTTGGCAAGAGCTAAAGCCAAAGCTGTTTGTTTTTATTTTTTTAATTATACAGTAATGAGGCCTTATTTCTCCAGGTTTTTGTGTGTATTGAACCATCTATAAATATCACTTAAGAGATTCCTTTTGTTGAAATCCTGCAAATAAGATAAAATATGAAAGACCTAAAAGAACTAGTTACCACAGGAAATAGTGCTTCTTTTAAAAGTGTTATAAATTTATGAGTTGGTAAAATTTCTTTAGTAATTGAAATAAATTTATTTTATAATATTAAAATAGGTAAATCAATAATACATAGTTGGCTTTTAGGTAAAGCTTGTATTTTTATCTGGTCTTTACAAAAGGTATAAGAAAATATATGTTATAAATGAGTGTGACACAGCCTTTAAAATGGGTTTAGTTCTTAAAAACATGTTTAAACCATTTTCAAGACCTAATGTAGTAACTATATTAATCATGGTGGGATTCTGTATTTTTCTTTTTTTAATGAATTGTATTTTGAAAGGTTAGGAATTCATAACCATAGTAGGAGAAACAAAATTGGAAAATCATCTTTTTGGTTGTTTCATTCATGTTTCTGGGTCTGAGCTGATACAGAGTAAGTAAATTGTTTAGGAGAGAATTGCACCAATGCAACATTGAGAACCAAGTTATCTTAAACACAATTTAAGAACATGTATGTTACCTTCTAGTTAAAATCAAAATTTAAAACATAGCTTATAATGTTACTAAATTATTAGCATAATCAGTGTTTGTGGATAATTTTTAAGGATTCTGATTTTCTTCTGGGTTGTTTTTAATACTTTGTCCGTTTTCTTGTTACTTCTATAAGCTGTGATTTTAATATATGGGATTTTAATATATGACCCCATGAGAAGCAAGCCTTTTTATTTTATTGTTTGTTATGCAGCTTTTAATTTGTCATTTAAGTGCTTGGTATAGAGCTATATCACAATAATGAAATTTAATTTATTAAGTGCAAAACAAGGAGAAAAGAAAAATAGCTTACCATGTTCATTTGGGCTTACTGGAAACATCAAAAAATTACTTCAGTATCTACATAGGCATCATAAAAGTTTAATATGTTCATTTTTCTGATTATCTTTGCTAATCTAGTTCCTTACATGGTATACTGAAGAGCTGCCAAAACAAAAAGGCTTCTGCTGCAGTCCACTAAAATTAGAGAATAAAATTAATTAGATTATCTTGCCCATTTCCTTGCCTTAAGCAAAACGTAAATTACCCTTTCTAATCCATGATGTGGTGTTTGAACATTCATTACCTTGAGTGACAAATAAAAGCAGGAGGAGCCATCATCACACTTTTATAATTGTGGAATGTTAGTTCACAACCATTGTCTAAGGAAAATCTCATATGATACAGTTCTGTGGGATCTGGAAAGATCATTATTCACAGTTTCAGACAAAGGCATATCCCTGCCAGAAGGGTGCCCTTCATTACCATATTTGGTATTCTGTCTGGTCTGTCCAGACTCAAAACAGGATCACTTTTCCTCACGTAAGAAACGTAAGGTATGATTGCAGTTGAGATAAACTTTATTCCTACTTGATTTGTCCCTTTGTAGCGTAAGTCAGATATGAATGCATCTTGTGACTTACAGTTTGCAAAACTTACTAACTTTGCACAGTGTGTATTTTAAGAACTAGGATTTAAAATATAGATACTCTTGAGATTTAGTTTTTCTTTTTGAAACATTCACTGCAGGTTAGGCTGGCTTCGAACTTGGAGTTGTCCTGCCTCAGTCTCTAGTGCTAGGATTACAGGCATGCACCACCACCCAGTTCAGTGAGACTAAAAATAAATACTAAAATACTGCATATAGAACTTTGACTGAGGGTGAAGTTCGTCTTTACTGGTTATGTGATGCAACTTTCTGCATTAGTGTTGTTAATTTGTGTTGTAATGAAATTTTGTATTTAGTTTGTTGGGGCTGTTTTTGTTTGCAAGTGGGGTGGTGAAGTCACGGGGGATGGGATATTGATAATGGCAAGCTGTTTTTGAAAGATTGAGTTACACCTTAATTTTAGACTATTAGAAATTGTTTCATAAAATCTTGATTTTCATTCTAGCACGCCAAGATCAGTTAGGAACTAGATCTTCTATCAAAACATTTGCCTTACTTAATAAAATTATAATTTAGTTTTGTAATTAAATGACTTTTAATACCAAGCACTTAGCATTAATTTAATAATTATGTAACTCCCATAAAAGTCACTCAGTTCCAATTTGTTTTTATGTTTATGTTGTCTTTTAATTATTGCCATTCACATTATTTAAGTAAGGTTGTGGTAGTAGTTTTGCTACCTACGCAGCTCAGATTGGTAGTGATCCTCCTGTCTCAGCCTCCCAGCACAGCAATTAAGGCATGCACCACCATGCCCAGTTTCCCAGTTTCGGTGGCCTGCACAGCATGTGGTACTAGGAATCAAACCTAGGTCATTGAGCTTGCCAGGCAGGTGCTTAGACCACTGAGCTATCTATCTCCCCAACCCCTAGGGTTTAATTATTTAACTTTGGAATGGCATTTGTCTTAATCTTTTTATCTCTTTTCTGTTGTGTAACTTGTTTCTTATAAGCAGGGGTACAATTAATCATTGTTTAATTTTTTTCTTTCCTACCATTTTTATACATGTTTTACTAAATGTATATTTGAGCTAGTTGCAGTCTCTACCAAAAGAGGCTGACTCCATTTCACTTCAGTTAGCGTTAATCACTGTCTTAGCTCAGTATTCAAGGCTCTATCCAGCCTTATCCTTTATTACTCTCTGAACTCTACATAGCCTGTACTGATTAAATATCGTTTCCAAAATTGTATTATTCATCCTTAATATCTTGTAGTTAGTAAATGTTAGCTGGCTAAGTGAAGAGGAAAATTTGTGGGGGTGGAGAGAAATAGAAAAAAAGTATTTGTATAGTTGACATGTGGATGGTGATTGTTACTTTGATTGCATGTGTGTGTTTTGGGGGCGTTATGTATGAATATATTTTGTATAATCAATAGAATAAGGTGATCGTTTTTAACCACACCTGTAGATTTGAATGTTAATATATCAGTCAGTAGTATCCAGCAAAAGGTTACTTTGATGTATGTCATAGTTAATCAGATGTTGACATTTTAAATTCATGCCAAAATGAGATCATTTTAATACATAATATATCCATCAGGAATTCTTCTACTGCAGAGGAAACCATAGTATAATAGTGGTTGAAATAAACAAGGGGTTATTTTTCATACATAACAAAAAGCTTAGAAGTGGGCCCTTACGGTTACAACTTCTAGGATGTTGGCTTTGCATCATCATACATGTCCTGATGTAAGTGATTAGCAAAGGAAATTGAAAGTGGCTTTGAATGGCTGTTCAGGAAGTCTTTGCTTTATTTTGATTGTTTATTCCAAATTTTGGGAAGGTTGTAAGAGAGTTTCTTAAAAGATTGTGTTTTGTTTTTGTTTTTCAGTTAAGTTCTAGGAAGCATAGCTATAAACTTTTTGGGGTGGGGTGTCATGATTGTGTTTTAGAGCAGTTTTCCTTTAAAAACTGTAAAGCAGCCAGATATGGAAATACCTAGAACTGCCAGCTTCTCTTTTTTATCTCTAGGTGCTCACTCTACCTCCTAGATTATTAGGTTTTTCTCTCAGCATTTAAAATTGTTTAGGTTTCCATCTTTAAAAAAAAAGTATCTTTCTCGGACCCACTGCCGAATTTTCTGCTCTATTTGGCCACTTCAAATTCTTTTTTTTTTTTTTTTTAACTTATTGCAACCTAACCTTTGCCATTGGATATTTCTCAGTTTTGTCTTGGCCTCACAGTTCTGTCCTTTCCTTGACTTATTACCTGGATATTCTGATTTTTTTTTTTTAATTCTATGCATCTGGCTCCTTAGATTATATCATTAGTTCTCCATTAATTTATATGAAGTCACCAAGATGTTTTCAGTATTCAGAAAGCTTACACTATTTTCAATGTAAGGTACTATTTTCCTTTTGTTTAAACATTTCCATTTTGTTCTGGTACTTTATAAATTTAACATCTTTGATTTCCCGAATACAATTAGTTCCTTCCTGCCTTGGGATCTTTAAGCATCATGTTCTTAAAAGCTCCATTCCTTCATGACTAGTATATGCAGAGAATGATAGTGATCTAGGTGCTAATTCTTTAGCTTTTAAACATTTTTTTTTTTTTTGAGATAGAATCTTGCTATGCAGTACATGATGGCCTTGCACTCTCTATGTAACCCAGGCTAACCTTAAACTCAGTGATCCTCCTGCCTCAGCCTCCTGAATGCTAGGATTTCAGGTGTGCACCACCACACCCAGATTTTAAACATTTCTTAAACATCCCTTTCCAAGAATGTTTTCCTGACACTGTGTTTTCCTCTAGACTCAAGTTCTTTTATATCCTTCGCTGCATTGTCATAGCACTCCAGTTGAGTCAAAATTTTATAGTCACTTATTTGACTAATGTCTACCTTGCTATTACTTAAGTTCCATTAAAGCAGAGAGAGGATCTGTCATGGTCATCAGTCTAGAATGGTAAAAAGTATGTAGTAAACTGAAAAGCAGGATGTAATAGTAGAAACAAGCTTGACCTTTCAATTTATCATTAATGAATTTTGTGTCCATCAAAAGGTTTCCTTAGCTACATAATGATGCTAATATTAAATACTCTCAATACCAGAATAAGCACCCATTTTTAAAAAAAAATTCACACAGTGTCTTAGTGGCTACCACTGTAATGATATATATAATTACTGTAGTAAACCATGGGAATACCACAGAGACTAAAGCAATTATTCCCTTTATTGTTTTTATTTTGTTGTTTTTAGAGAACATTATTATTTTTGTGGAGTTTATTCTAAAAGATTGTACTTGAGTCCTTCGCACCCAAAAGATAAATGATAGGAAACGATGCATATTTGGTATATTCTTTTGAAGGTTAAATATGTTGGCATATTTTAAGGAGCTTTGAAATACCCATTTACTTTTAGTTTGTGTAGCTGAATCACTTTTGTTATTGTTTTTCAGTCCAAACCTTATGCATTTGATCGGGTATTCCAGTCAAGCACATCCCAAGAGCAAGTATACAATGACTGTGCAAAGAAGATTGTTAAAGGTAAATATATTTAACTGGTTAACTTCGTTTACTTACTGTCCTAGCAGTAAGTTTGTAATATTTCCCATTTAACATCCAAGTTAATTGCAGAACAAAGTTCAAATAATAAAGTGGTTAAATGCAGTTCTTAAAAACTTACTATATTGCTCAAAAACCTTTCCTACCTGTGTGCAATACCCAGTGATGGGTGTTGATAGGAATTATGTTACAGGCTTGCTCTTGAAAGATGCATTTCTATTACATATTCCTAGGAAAGTTTCCAAGATAGTTCTACGAATAGTACAGTATGAGAATAAAAACACAGTGCCTGGATCAGTTTATAGAAAGTAGTAGAAAATGGCAGTCTGTAATTCTTTCGCTCCATTGTTATTTCCTTCCCCAAAGATTTTTCTTGGAGTAGGGAAACCTTAGAGGAATTTAGCAGGGGTTGGCAAGGGTGAGAAAAGGAATGTACGTTTCAGTTTAGTACTGTTAACTAACACCAGGCTATTTCTCTATTATATATTTTCTAATTAAGTTTATTAATACATTTTAGGCACACATATTAAGCACATTCATCATAGAGAATTTGTACCTGTATAAATGGTAACATTTTGACTCCTTTTATTTTTCATCCAGCTTTTCTCCCAACCGTCTCTCTCCCCTTCAACCCTTCTTCCCTTCTTCTGTTTAATTTTGTGTTTTCTAAACCATAGAAATCTAGTGCTGAGAGAGTGCCAAGTGATTATGTGGAATTACTTTCTATTTATGATACAAACTTCTTTTATCAAAAGGATCTTATAGTTAAGTAGCTATAATATGATTTACTCCATTTTTTTTTTTTTTTTTAACTGAGTGTTTTACAATGTTTCTTAAATTGAAGCAAAAATCTCTTCTAGTGGTGTTTACCAGATTAAAGTGTTTGGGTTTCCATACAAAGGTAAATGGGTTAGGATTAAGTTGGAGCACAGATTATTCATCCTGGTAACGGAAGAGGAAATAGAGTGTATGGATAGAAGCAAACGTGATAAAGGGAAAATGTGAACATTTTAAATGTTAATTCCTTGTTGTCAGTGATACAAGAATCAAAATCACAGAGAACAAAGAAGGGCAAGACTTTATAGACAAAATGGAAGGACTGGGATAGTGGCAGTATTGTCAGGCAACATAAAGTATCAGCTTGTGGTCAGCTGCCAGAAGAGTTAAATTTATCTGTTTTGAATTTGTCCAGGCAACAGAATTAAGGATATTGTCAAGGGAGTGATTGTAATGGCAAACCATGAAACCTAAGGTAGGAAGTTTCAGAAAAGAAGCCATAACAGAAGCTGAAGGTGGAAAAGTTACCGGATTATACGTCTCAGTGAGGGCAAGGTTCATTGGAATCAAGGCACTAGAAGGAGTAAATAGAAGGTGAATATTTAAATTTGAGATTTTGGAGGTAGTGCAGTTATTAGTGAAAATATCAGGATCTTATCACAGAGTTGACAACTGTAGTAGTAAAGGACAAGATTATAGAAAAAATTAGGTCAAGAATCTGAGAGAGGCTGGTAGACACCACGGAGGAAGCATCATCAGTCTGTCTTCGACTGCTATCATGTTTTAAGTCAGAGTCTCCGAAGGATCCCGAACAGCTAGGGAAGCTCTTCATCGGAGGGCTGAGCTTTGAAACAACTGATGAGAGTCTGAGGAGCCATTTTGAGCAATGGGAAACATTCACAGACTGCATGGTGATGAGAAACCCAGACACCAAATATTCCAGGGACTTTGGGTTTGTCACTTATGCCACTGTGGAGGAGGTGGATGCAGCCATGAACGCAAGGCCACACAAAGTGGATGGAAGAGTTGTGGAACCAGAGAGAGCTGTAATTCTCAACGACCAGATGCCCACTTAATGGTAAAGAAGATCTTTGTTGGTGGCATTAAAGAAGATACTGAAGAACATCACCTACGAGATTATTTTGAACAGTATGGAAAAATCAAAGTGATTGAAATTGTAACTGACCAAGGCAGTGGAAAAAAGAGAGGCTTTGCTTTTGTAACTTTTGATGACCATGATTCTGTGGATAAGATTGTCATTCAAAAATACCACACTGTGAATGGTCACAGCTGTGAAGTGAGGAAAGCCCTGTCCAAGCAGGAGATGGCTAGTGCTTCATCTGGCCAAAGAGGTCGAAGTGTTTCTGGAAACTTTGGTGGTGGTCGTGGAGGAAGTTTTGGTGGTAATGACAGTTTCGGTCGTGGAGGAAACTTCAGTGGTCGAGGTGGCTTTGGTGGCAGCCGTGGTGGGGGTGGATATGGTGGCAGTGGAGATGGCTACAATGGATTTGGTAATGATGGTGGTTATGGAAGAGGCATCCCTGGTTACTCTAGAGGAAGCAGAGGCTATGGAAGTGGTGGACAGGGTTATGGGAACTAGGGCAGTCGCGATGGTGGGAGTGGCAGCTATGACAGCTATAACAACAGAGGAGGCGGAGGCGGCTTTGGCGGTGGTAGTGGAAGCAATTATGGAGGTGGTGGAAGCTATAATGAATTTGGCAATTACAACAGTCTTCAAATTTTGGACCCGTGAAGGGAGGAAACTTTGGCGGCAGAAGCTCTGGGCCCTATGGTGGTTGAGGCCAGTATTTTACCAAACCACAAAATCAAGGTAGCTGTGGGAGCTCCAGCAGCAGCAGTAGCTATGGCACTGGCAGAAAGTTTTAAACACTTCCAGGAAACAAAGCTTAGCAGGAAAGGAGAGCCGGAGAAGTGACAGGGAAGCTACAGGTTACAACAGATTTGTGAACTCAGCCAAGCACAGTGGTGGCAGGGCCTAGCTGCTACAAAGAAGACATGTTTTAGACAATACTCATGCTTATGGGCAAAAAAACCTGAGGACTGTGTTTGTGACTAATTGTATAACAGGTTATTTTAGTTTCTGTTCTGTGGAAAGTGTAAAGCAGGGGCTGGTGAGATGGCTCAGTGGTCTAAAGCACTTACTTGAAACAAGCTTGGCAAAGCACAGGGACCGCGGTTCAATCCCCCAGCACCACATGCCAGCCAGCCCCGCCCCCTGGTGGGCTGAGCTGGCCACACACACACACACACACACACACACACACACACAAATAAATAAATAAATAAATGTAAAAAAAAAAAGAAACACATACGATGACATGTAGGGTGGGGACCGTAGCTCAGAGGTACGGCACCTGTCTGGCAAGTGCAAGTTCCTGAGCTGGAGTCCCAATACAAAAAAAAAAAAAAAAAAAAAAAAAGTGTAAAGCATTTCAACAAAGGGTTTTAATGTAGACCTTTTTTTGCACCCATGCTGTTGATTGCTAAATGTAATAGTCTGATCATGATGCTGAATAAATGTATCTTTTTGAAAAATGCTCTGTAGAGTTAGTCTACTCTGAAGCCATCTTGGTTAACATCCCCAACAGTGTGAAGTTAGAATTCCTTCAGGGTGATGCCAGGTTCCATTTAAAATTTCTTTACAATTGCTTGTTTAAAGAAGTCATTGTCTTCAGAAACCTTGGTGTAGTTGAACTGACAGTTACTGTTGTGAACTCTGAATTTGACCATTAAAGGTCACCCAAGCAAACAGTCAGCTACTTGGTTATAAAAATGATTTTTGGCACATCCTGTATATCTAAATTGAATAATGGTACCAGATACAATGATAGATGGGATTGAAGCTGTGTATCATCCATTACCATGTGTAATCAATAAACAATTTAATTCTCTTGGGAAAAAAAAGAATCTGAGACAGTGTTTGTGAAAGTGCCTAATACAGGAACATTGAAATCACCAAGATTAATAACAGGAAAGGTATTGGTGAGAGACAGTGAACTTTGTGGTGATATTATCATAAAATAAAGGGGAGTTGTGTTATCAGTATGCCAAAATTAAATTAGCGTTTTGAGTGAGTGATCGCTTCATGAATTCATGGGCAATCTGAACCCCTTTCCACACTTGCACAGTGGAGTACAAGCTTTTTGTTCTTCATCATATTTTAGTTTTATGGTTATTTTACTAGTGATCTGTTACATTAGCTGAAAGCATATTTCATATGTCTATAATGGTATTGAGCCATTTATAATGCTGAATGGATTTTGGTCATTATTTTAGTCTTCTAAAAACTGAGTAATTAATTAAAGCACACTGGGACTTCAGTCAGCTTCAGAGCTCATTACACAGTTGTATGGTTCTTAGTTTGTCAGCGTATCCACAAAAATGTATAAAGGCTGAGTATATAGCTCAGGGGTGTAAGCACCTGCCTGGCACGCACAAGGTCCTGAGTTCAATCCCTAGTACAAAAAAAAAAGGCGAATAATGTGGATCTTTTTATGAAATCATGATACATGATGGTATTTTTTCCTAGAAAACCAAATGAATGACTAGTCAAAGAGGAAATGAAGTTAGGGCAAATATATTTTTTTCTTTAGTGAAATTTTGCTACACTTATTTGTAGTTCCATAATTTATTCCTGTTTTGAAAATGAGTATAGTTATTTGCACTAGCTGGGCATGGTAGCATGTGCCTATAATCCCAGCACTCAGGAGCCTGAGTGTTTTATTCTGTTCTGTTTTGTTTTGAGGAACGTGTGGAAGATCATAACAAAGTAAGAATAGTCCTGTCTTAGTAGCATCAGTTAACATAATATAGGTTTATTCATTCATTATTTTTTCTGAATATGACTTTAAAGGCTCTTTTTTAAGGCCTTGGTTTTTATTTTTTATTACTTTGGGAAACATGCTATGTATTTACCTTTCTCATACGGTTCTAGTGATTTTTACCTCTTTTTGAACATCCTTGCTTAATGTCTCAATAATAAGCTCATAGCTCCCTTCTCAGAACTCTTTGAAATCTGTAGTTCTGGATAGCTAGGATAGCTCGGGTACATGTGTTACTACTTTTGTTCTGGGGATGGTGAGGATGTTGAGACAGTCTTGCTGTGTAGTTCAGGCTGGGCTTGAGCTCTTTATGTAGCCTGGCTAGACTCAAACTTGTACAGGCATGCACCACCATGCCTGTCA